CTACGCAGAGGTCAAGTTTTTTATGTGGAGTAGTACGTGCTCAACAAATCCATCAGAGTTTTCAGATTCCGATCTCAATTCCACCGTGCTTCTTGCGAGGGAGTTCCTAAGGTGAACAGTTACTCCTCCCTTCTTCCTTCCTCCCATTCGGTCCGCACGATAATGTTGGAATCCTTCCATTGCAATTTTTACATAAAAGATATGTTTTCATATGTGCCACTTCGTTAGTGCAATGATAAAGATTCCACCCTCGTCGACCATCTCTCTCAGCACGCCAATATTGTGGCGCGCTATTTGTGGGAAGAGCCCCTCGATGTTGGCCAGCAGAATGCCAGACTCTTCCCTTTTTGGTGTTCTTACCTGCAGCGACACCGATCTGCCAAGCGTCCTAGTCCAGCAGCTACTTTATCTGGAGTTGTATTAGTTCCAACTGATACATTTGATGTTGCATTTGGTCCTTCAGGTATAAAAAAATCCTGGAGGGTAACCTCTTGCCCCTCACGTGCTTCTATGCCCCATGCACATGGGCTACTCAATGGAGTAGTTATGTCGTCTATCCTTCTCCATTGACTCCCTTCATTTCCACCTCGTAAATCACCGCTCCTTCCAACGGTGTTTCTCTCAGCGTTGCTCTGTCATCCCTGAGCGCGAGGGGCGGGCTGTGCGGTGGGCATCGCCATTTGCTGTGAGGGCATACCATTGGTGCTCGCTCTATTGACATTTTCTCCACTTTTTTTCTTAATTTGATGTGGTGGAAACGACAGTTTTCTTTGGAGCTGTCCTCTCTGTTCATGATACTCCAGCACAGCGTAGTATGATAGAAAGGGCAAACCTCACCTTTTTTGCAGTTCGGCGCTGCAGTGTAGGCCTGATGTGGCCTGTCGCCGATTCTTTTCCTTTTCGTGCCTTTTTCACAGAAGATCTAAAATCGTGTTATTTGACCGGATCTTTTCCCGACTGAAGAAAGTTTGAAATAGCTACTCGACTTCCACCGGGTTCGATATGGTGCTAGGCATTTCAAATCTGAACATATATTTTTCCATAGCTTTATCTAGTCTGTTCTTGAACTCGTTCATACTTGGAGCGCCAACGATGTCATCGGGGAGGCTGTTCCACATGTCGGTAATTAGAAGCGAGAAGAAATTTTGTCGCGTGGAGAAGTTGCAGCGCAGTTTTTTTAGTTTATAGCTGTGGCCCCTGGTGTTGGTTCTTGTTGTAAATTCTAGTAATCCTTCGGGGACCTTGTATAAACCATGAGCATACTTGTATACTTCAATGAGGTCCCCACGCAGACGTCGATAACTGAGGCTTGGAAGCTTCATAATCTTTAATCTTTCTTCATAGGACTTGCCCTTCAAGCCTGGAATTATCCTTGTTGCACGTCTTTGTACATTCTCTATTCAATTTTTGTCCTTTTCAAATCTCGGTGACCACACAACATTTCCAAACTCTAGATTCGGGCGCACGACAGCAATAAACAACTGTTTCATCGCTTCTGCATCTAGGAACTCGTATGAGCGCCTGATTAGTCCAAGAATTTTGTTGGATGTGTTAGCTTGCGTTTCAACATGCTTAGAAAATTTTAGCTCCTTGTCGACATAAACTCCGAGATCTTTTTCCACACTAGACTTTTCAATCATTACTCTCTCGTTGCAACCATGTCTTCTCATACTGTAGTCTTGCTGTTAATTGTTCTTCCCGAGGTGAAGTACTTTACACTTGTCAGCATTAAACCGCAGCTGCCACGTATCAGCCCAGTTAACTAAGCTGTCAAGATCATCTTGCAATTGCGCTTTATTTGACGCATTCTTCACTGAATTATAAACTATTGTGTCGTCGGCATACATGGAGCACACGCTGGACACTGCTTCTGGCAGATCGTTTATAAAAGCAACGAACAAAATAGGCCCAAGAACGCTTCCTTGTGTCACGCCACTGCGCACAGATGCCCAGTCTGACGCGGTTCCGTTAATACTGACACGTTGTCGTCTACCTACTAGAAAATCTCTGATCCATTGGAGTACGTTTCCCTCAATTCCTAAAGACTTCACTTTACGTAACAGCCGCTCATGCGGAACACTGTCAAATGCCTTGGCAAAATCGAGGTACAATGCATCCACTGGTTCCCTTTCGTCCAGCAGGCGAGTCCACTCGTTCAACGTAGATAATAAGTTAATGGTGCAGGATCTATCGGCAATAAAACCATGTTGACAATCTGATAGGAGATGATGGTGAGCAGTCAAGTGGTCGATAATCCTATCTCTCACAACAGATTCCATCAGCTTACAAACAACACTTGTCAGACTGACAGGGCGATAGTTGCCGGGGCTGCTTTTGTCACCTTTTTTTGAACAATGGTGTTACTTGATCTTTCCAGTCGGACAGCAAAGTTCCTTCGTTCAAGGTTTTTTGGAAGAATACTTTCAATGGGCCGGCCAGAACGGTTGCCGTTTCCGATGTCACTTGGATGACCGTTTCCGTAATCAAAGAATTTATAACACATTCTAGGGTGTGAGAATGTGCAACCTTCACCGTTCTTCTCGTATTCACATTTCTTTTGGAGATGTTTCCAGCAAACACCTTTTTTAACTCTCGGTCTGCCTGAAGGTACATAGGTTTCTTGGGAGGAGGGTAAGGTTGGAAAAGATGATGTCAAACCGATCTCTAAATCACGAAGGTTCAGGGCAGCGGTATAGGTTGTAGGGTTGGGAGCAACGTGGGCATCAGGTGTTCGAGCAGGGGGAAGGGTGGGGTCAGAAATAATTATAGAGGTAGGGGTAGGACTGAGGGTCGGATTAGGGGTAGGGGTAAAGTTAGCACCGGGGGTGAGGGTAGGAGCGAGAGTAGGGGCGGAGCTCAGAGCAAGGGTAATGGTGTGAGTGGGGTTTTGGCTTATGTTGACACCTTACGATTCAGAATGATCATGTCAGGGTGCAAGTTCAGCTAAACCAGTGGTTCCCAAAGTGGGCGATATCGCCCCCTAGGGGCGGTGGAAAGATTTTGGGGGGCGGTAAGGAAGAAGCGGGCGGTAGGGGGCGATAGGGGGGCGATAGTCCGAAGTCGAAGTCAGAAGTTCCAACGTGTTTTTGACGATTTGTACACAACACGTGCAGCGCATGACTCCCAACGATGGTTTTTTCACCCAGATCTGTTTTTTAACCCCTCCTGGGTTTACGTCTCGGACAAATTAACGGCCGGACTCGCGGCCGGTCTCACGGTCAATTTCCAAATTCAATGATCAAGGAATATCTCCCAAACTAATGAACTTAACTTGATGAAACTTGGTACACGTATTCATTATAAGGACCTAATGGTAATGTTTAGCTCGTGAAAATTTTTTGAATTTTGCCTTCATTTGTTTTTGCCATAGTTATATGGTAATACGGGCCGAAATTCACAGTGATCAGAGAATTTCTTCCAAACTACCGAACAGATTCGAACGAAATTTTGAATTTACAGTCCTAACTACCGAACGGTAATGTTTAGCTCGTGAAAATTTTTTCGATTGTGCCTTCGTTCGCGAGTTTTCTTCATTTCACCTTCATTCCTGATTTAAACAGCAATACGTGCTTAAATTCGCAGTAATCAAGAAATTTCTTCCAAACTACTGAACAGATTTGAACGGAAATTAGTATTTAAATACCTAACCTTAGCAACGGTGATGTTTAATTCGCTCGTTTGCCTTCGTTTAATTGCGAGTTATACGGATATACGTAAACGGCTCTTGGTTAAACCGGCCGGTAGAAAAGCCGGTCGTTCCTCCTATATCTGTATAACTCGCAAACGAAAGCAAAATAGAAAAATTGTCACGAGCTTAACGTCACCGTTGGGAGGTTAGGTATTTATATACAAAGTTTCGTTCAAATCTGTTCAGTAGTTTCGAAGAAATTTAATGATCGCCTCGAATTCAAGCGACAAATTATCCGGCGATATGGGCCGAATATAAGGAAGTGTGAAATCAAGAATGACGGCGAAATGAAGAAAAACTTTCAAACGATGGTAAAATCGAAAAAAATATTTTTAAGCTAAAAAATCACCGTTTGGTAGTTAGGAATGTATATTCAAAATTTCGTTCAAATCTGTTCAGTATAGTTTGGAAGAAATTCTTTGATCACTGCGAATTTCAGCCTGTATCGCAATATAACTCGCGAATGAAGGTGAAAATTAAAAATTCTCACGAGCTAAACATCACCGTTAGGTTATGATGAATACATGTTCCAAGTTTCATCGAGCTTCGTTCATTAGTTTGGGAGATATTACTTGATAATTGAATTTGGAGATTGGTCGTGAGACCGGCCACGAGTCTGGCCGTAAATTTGCCCGAGACGACCTAGATTTCTAGTGCTGTAACAGTTAAAACAGCTGAAAAACATATTGGTTCACTAAATGGGGTTCTATTTGTGAAATACACATTTGAGTTTAACCTTCATCTTTTAAAATTGCAGCGTAGTAAATTTCAAGAATGAGGCGTTTGTTTTTTTATGTGTCTGTGGGGGGCGCTAGAAATTCACTAGGAAGCCGAAGGGGGCGCCAGCCTGAAAAAGTTTGGGAACCACTGAGCTAAACAAACTCAGATTGTGATCATTAGCGATTTAAAGTCATCAGTCGCATTATCAGCCTTGACGTCTTAGCAAACGCTTTGGAATATTTACGAGCTTCGCCACTCCACCTGAACCAACGCTGAGCACCGAGGAACGCTTTGGTCTTCTTATCAGATACGTGTAATGAAAAAAAATTTGTTCCAATAGAAATTGAGGTTCTTCTAGCGAATAACTTTCCATGGAAAAAAATTAGAAAAGGTAAACATAATTCCATCATATTCGCTTATATTTCCACTTTATTTTATATATTTTTCATTTTTTCAACCAGAAAGTTTAAATTTTCCAAACAAACAGTTCCCTAAATCTAAATTTCAACAATTGATTGTGGAGCTAGATGCCACTAGCTGTGGTGACGAATGATCTCTGGACAGACAGCTGTAGGCACGCGACCGACAAATAAAACCAACTGTTTCAATAATATCATAAAGCTATAAAGTCAGACCATGTCTCGTACCAAGTCACAAGACTTATAACAGCCTTTCGTTCGCGACTCGTTTTTCCTTAGCGTCTTTCTGCTTACGCCTTTAGGACTACCAACATGATGAAATCCGTCGGTGTTGTCCTTCTTCTCACGGCAACTTTTGCCTACTCCGGTGTTGAAGGGTAAGTGAACTCAGCAATAACATTCGGACGCTGTGCTCTCCCCTCCTGTTCACGTTTATCCTAAATTATTAGATGATAAAGCTTTGTGCTCTAATTTTGCATAGCCGCTACAAATCAATGCTGAAAAAGCTGCAAAAATGTTGCATTGAGAGCTACGGATATTACTTGTTTTCTTTTTAATAATGGAAAATGTTCATCTCTTGATATTACTCACCAGGTACTAATTTGTATTCATTTCTCTCGCCAGTGCAAATGGGTGTGCAAAGTACCTAAATAACATGTTGAAGAACGCAGACGTGAAAACTTCATTCCCCGACTGCATGTCTGATCCAGCGGGACAGGCAGCCTTGACTGCCCTCGCAGGTTAGATATTGCATGATTTATTACCATCACTTGGTTGATCTAAAATTTTCTACCATTGCGCTAACGGCTAACCTATGGGCAATTCATCCAATTTATATATTTTTGTTTCCAAAACTTAGTTTTAGACCTTGTCTTTTTAGTTAGTGGTGTTTTCTAGAGACGTATCGTGAAATAGTGACTGGAACCACCGTAAATTCATGTGAGATCTAAAACAATAAGTAGCAATTTACGTGTTCTGCAGGTAATCCTGACTGCAAAGGCTACAAGTTCATAACCCACAATCACAAGTGCGAAGTTCTCGCAGCTCCCTTCATGAAATGTGTAGCGGGAAAAATTGGTGTCGTAAGTCTGAAAATGTTGCTAAGGTGCCTCTTCATCATCTGTGATGAACTCCACTTTGAATATTAGCTTACCTTATTTGTGGTGTTGAACATGTCAAAATGTGACCAATGCAATATTTAGTGCACCATGAGAGATATCTATTTACAACAATTCCATATGTTATTAAATATATTATGAAGTTACGACCCTAGTAAATGTGAACACAGCACATTTATTTATAGTTGAACGCTGCTGGCTCCATCGATAACACAAAGATCTTAGCCGAGTACACGGAATGGGCCAAGGGCCCTGGCTGCGACGCTGCTCAGTTCGGCTTCGGTGTGAAAAAATGTGGCATGAAAATCAAGAACTACGCGGTAAGTTTTTCTTGTCTTGGCGTGACACGCTTAAAGTTATTTCAGCAGGACAATGAAATAAGATTATTTCGAACTGAATTTATGTCAAATTTTAACTTGGAAGCCGAGTCATAGTTTGATTTACTAGTATGTGGAAAATTATGCAAATCATTCTTAGTTCCTGTGGAAATGCGTGGATAGTCTGGAAATTTCAGACTATCCAGCGAGATTTTTTTTGATCTGGCAATCCCCTTTTCTGATGCCTCTGTACATATGATTATTATCGGTGAATTTGGGTCGCATATATCATGCTACCTCTCAAATTTCTTGCAATAATATTGCGTAGAGTCATCACTGAAATTCTAAGCATTCTTTCACTTATTTCCACTACAACTGAAGCATCACTTAATGCCATGAACCTTTTTTTATATAATGAACTATCACAAACAGTTCCTGAAGAAGGCCGCATGCATCGCTAGGGAGTCGAAAAAATACACTGCACAATCTGGTCCTGCACAATCTGGTGCAGGTCCTGCACAAACTGGTCCTGCACAAGCTGGTCCTGCACAATCTGGTGCAGGTCCTGCACAAGCTGGTTCTGCACAAGCTGGTCCTGCACAAGCTGGTCCTGCACAAGCTGGTCCTGCACAATCTGGTGCAGGTCCTGCACAATCTGGTGCAGGTCCTGCACAATCTGGTGCAGGTCCTGCACAAGCTGGTGCAGGTCCTGCCCAAGCTGGTGCAGGTCCTGCACAATCTGGTGCAGGTCCTGCACAAGCTGGTGCAGGTCCTGCCCAAGCTGGTCCTGGCGTATAACCAAGCATCTGGCTTATAACCAATCATTATGAACTTGAATATAATGAGAAATCAAGATTTTTTAGCGTTCCTTGCACTTCAAACTTAGTGACTTATTGTTCTTAGAACCTTTGCACTTGTTTTTTCTTCTCCTGATAGGTTGGAATAGTTTCTTAACACTTCAGCAATGGAACTTTTATATCATTTCACACAAGCTGTGCGACATAATTTACAATACATTATCTGCGTGAATGTTGTTTTGATTGGCCCTTTTGTTGAATCATGAAGTTATTTAAAAAATTATTAAGTAAAGTACACATAAGAAAAGTAAACACAAACTACCCTATAGAAACCTATAGCTACATTTAAGTGGCAGAGATGAGATGCATTTAGTTTCGAGAGACACGTCGCTGTCTGTAACTTGGAGTAAGTTTCACGAACATGCATTTGGGGACACAGAAATGTTAGAGAGACGTCGTAAGGACCTAAGGATGAAATGATAACTGGAATGAAGGAGAGTAGTTGAAAAGAACCCATATTTGTACGCCGAATACTATAGGTTTCTACAAGAAAACATGAAACACAAAGCATTCATTGTCAATTAGAGTGATTTTTGAATAGATTATTGGAATAATGCTGATCAAGATTATCATTACTGGCAAGAACTCAAATAATATTAACATCAATGCGATCATCCTAAGCGAAACTAACTTGTTGAAAATTAATTTCAACAAGTTTGCATTGTGACATGAATATTTCTGTGATTTGATAGAAATCGAGAGTCATCGTTACATTTCAGACGGATAAAATACTTCCTAACATTCTTGAATAACCTACCAATATTTGCTATATTGGATTGAATAAACCAAGTTCGTGTTTGAGGCGATCGATAGCTCTAGGGATCATTTTTAGCCTGGGTAAAAATTATTCGGTGTCCGGAATATGAATAGCGGTATTGGAGAGTACGTTAATATGAGAGATTTTAGCCTTGTCATATATCGGCTAAGAGGAATGTGTTAACCCCAGCATATTATGTGGTCAAACTTTTCAACCGCTGGCTCGTTGACGAAGCTGTTCCGATGAACTTCAAATCAGCTCATATTATGCGGCTATGCCTCTATTGAAAAAACAGGCCTTGACGCTTCTGATCCCAAATCATATCGACCCATTTTCAACCTATCGATTTTATCTAAACTCTTGCGGTCTATCTTCAGCAGTCCGGTCTCATGCCTCGCCTGCAGTCTGCATACCGTCAACTCCACTCGACGGAAACCGTTGTGCTGAAGGTGTTTTCAGACATTCTGCGAGAGTAAACCGCTGTGAAATTGCGGCACTGGCTTAACTCGACCTTTCGGCCGCGTTTGGCACGGTCGACCACGCCACTGTGATGCGTCGGCTTAACGTATCATTCGGCCGGCGCGACACTGTGCTGCGGTAGTTACTGTAGAGTCCTATCTCGGCAATAGATTATGTAAGAAGGTTATCCGCACTACTGCGCGCGCGGAAGAGTACCTGTTGTAAGGCCTAGCCAGTCAAGTTAGAGCACTTCGTCTGTGGTGTCCTATTATAGGCTGCAGTACGCTATTCTCAGGTACGAGTGAATATGGATTAGTGCTCTTCAATAAGTGTCTATGAATTATTGTATTTGGATTATTGAATTATCTTGCTGTATTGTTCATTTCGACGTGTATTTATTTGTGTCATTTATTTGTATCGGCAGGACAGAGTGAAGTCTCTCTCCTCTCTGTAGTTGAATAGTCAAATGATGATCGCGATTCTAAACTGTTGGATTTCTTGAATAAATGTAAAAACTTTTTATCTATCAACTGAACCCGACATCATCACAGGTTCCAATGAGTTCGACAAGGGAACTCTTCTTTTACGCCATCGTTGGTCACCTGCGGCGTACCCCAGGGATCAGATCTCGGCCTGATCCTCATTTTGTTATATAAATTCGACGCATTTCACACAACTGATTCACGTATATTGCATCCACATATCTGCGCTGACGGCACCCAAATTTGTGGCTACTGTTCACCGGCTGCCGCTGCAGCGTTGCGATATCGGATGTCAGTCCTCATGGACACAATCTCAAACTGGATGCGCTCCGACCGGCTACAGCTCAATGCATCAAAAACGGATTTTATTTGGTTTTCGACTGCTCGGCGCCAGCATCAACTTCAGGCAAACCCTGTTCTCGTGGGCAACGAGTTCATCATGCCTGCGTCTCCGGTTCTCTTCCTGGGAATTCTGCTGGACTCTGAATTTATCATGAACCAACACGTAGCCAAAGTCACCACCGCTTGTTTTGGCGCTCTGCGACGAATACGTAGCGTCAGCCGCTGTCTCTCGAGGCCGGTCTTCGAGGCCCTCGTGGTGGATGCCACACTCGACCAGGTTGGACAATGGTAATGCCACACTCCATTGACTTCCGACCAAGGCACTTTATAAACTGAAATTTATAGTGAACACTGCTGCGCAACTCGTGTGCATTAAGTGAAAATTTGCCCACGTAACGCCGCTATTACGCAATCTTTACCGGCTGTGCATGCAGCAGCCCACGCAGTTCAAGGTCGCTGTTCTGACGTTCCGATGCCTCCACGGTCTTTTGCCTCCTTAACACACGGAATGTATGCGCGGCGTGTGTGTGATCTGCCTAGACGATTGCGTTCGTCATCAACAAAGGACCTCGTCGTTCCATCTTCATGTCTATCTACCGTCGGTGAAAGATCGTTCCCGGTCGCCACCGCCAGAACCTGAAACAGTCTGCCGGCTTTCGTAACGTCGGCTCCTTCGATGCAAGTGTTTCATCGACGCCTCAAGACGAAACTCTTTCGTAGAACCTATCAATCATGTGCTTGGTAATTTTTATCCGTTCTAATCCTTTCTCGGGTCTATCTATTTTTTGCTTGATATTAAACTTATGTGTAACCGCAAATAATAAACTGTAAATACTGTAGGAAGTAACCGCATACATCAAAGTGAAAGTGCACACAAAGTTTTAAAATGTTTTTACACGAACTCGGATTCCGTTTTGAACGAAAAAAGTGAACTGTTAACTGTGATCGCAAACGAGTGTATAGACATTATTTGTATTACAGAAACACTAACTAAAAATCACGGGGGGGAAATTGTACCTGTTGAATTTCAGCTGCCAGGTTTTGATTGTTTTCATAACTTAAATGAAGAGCAGTGCAGTAGAGGTGTAGCTCTGTGGGTTAGAACCTCATGTGGGGCCCAGCAAGTTAAGTTATCTGCAGAGCATCAATCAGCTAGAGAATCAGTGTGGTGCGAACTTACTGCAAAAGGCATAGATAGCCTCCTCATAGGGGTCATTTATAAATCACCTAACAGCTCCTCTGATAACAATGAAGTACCAAACAGCCTTTTACCGAGCATGTCATTCAGCAGGTCGCATACGTTGATCCTTGGCGACTTTAACCATCCAGAAATAGACTGGGCAGATAAATTTTCTCCAAGATGAGATGAGAATCACCCAGCATTCCTGTTCTTGGAGTCTGTGCGAGACTCATTTTTAATCCATAACATCACCAAGCCAACTCATTTTAGGGGTAAACAGACCCCAACTATTCTAGATCTTGTGTTTACTAGTGAAGAATCAATGATAGATGATCTTCGCCACGAGGCTCCGTTGGGCAAAAGCCACCACCAATCATTGTTTTTCAGTATTAAGTGTTGTGCAGAAAAAAACGCTTCGGAAGCGTGAGCGTTTGAACTTTGCGAAAGGCGACTATGATAAACTCCGTGAAGCGGTGAATGCGGCGAATATTTCGGACTGTATCAAGGACATGAATGTGGCTGATTCATGGTCGTTTTTCAAAGACACGGTTATGTCTGCAGTTGATACCTGTGTACCTAAGATTACGCTTGGAGGAGTCAAAAGTCCCAGTGGATGAACAGTGCAGTTAAGGCTCAGCTAAAAACCAAGAAATAAGACTACAAGCGTTATTTACGAACTCGCAGCGAGTCTGATTATAACCTGTATGCCAGAGCTCGAAATCAAGCTAAAAAAGTTTGTCGCACTGCAGTAAAAAACTTCGATAAAAATATTGCTAAAAATGCAAAAAAAGAATCCGAAAGCCTTCTTTTTGTACGCTAGTTCAAAGTGTAAGTCTAAGGACGGTATATCTGATTTGAAAGTAGACCAACGAAAGATTTCCTCTGATGAGGGCAAGGCAAACGTTCATAATCAGTTCTTCAGCAGTGTATTCACAGACGAGGACTTGAACAGTATTCCAGATATTGAGGAGCGCCCAGTCGGCTCGAAGTTAACAGGTTTTGATATACACGAAGAAGAGGTTCTCAAGCGCCTGACAGCTCTAATTCCCAACAAGTTATGTGGACCAGACAGCTTCCATCCCAGATTGCTCAAAGAATTTGCAACCGTTCTGGCTGGCCCATTGACAGTATTCGTTCAAAAAACCTTGAACGAAGGAACTTTGCCGTCCGACTGGGAAGAAGCTCAAGTAACACCATTGTTCAAAAAAGGTGACAAAAGCAGCCCCGACAACTATCGCCCTGTCAGTCTGACAAGTGTTGTTTGTAAGCTAATGGAATCTGTTGTGAGGGATAGGATTATCGATCACTTGACTGCTCACCATCATCTCCTATCAGATTGTCAACATGGTTTTATTGCCGGTAGATCCTGCACCAATAACTTATTATCTACGTTGAACGATTGGACTCGCCTGCTGTACAAAAGGGAGCCAGTGGATGCATTGTACCTCGATTTTGCCAAGGCATTTGACAGTGTTCCGCATGAGCGGCTGTTGCATAAAGTGAAGTCTTTGGGATTTGAGGGAAACGTACTCCAAAGGATCAGAGATTTTCTAGTAGGTAAACGACAACGTGTCAGTATTAACGGAACCTTTTGTATTCGTTTGCGACCATTTGTTAGTAACCATTCGTTAGTAACCATTTGTTAGTAACCATTCGTTAGTAATCGTTAGTAACTATTCGTCAGTGTTCGGTGATCTTCTATCACCCTCTATAGTCCGGTCATTCTGTGTATAAAAAAGGATGGACCTAGAAAAAATTGCAACAGAATTTCTTTTTGTGGGGATATTATCTACACTTAGTGTAGTACTTCCACCAAAAAATGTAAGAAAATCTAAGTGGGGGAACATGTTCAAATCGGTCATTTAAAATTGTTGTATTTCTATTCTTTGGGGTCGAATTTGAGTGGATTAAAAATGTATCCAGCTTAATTGTTTTACTGTGTTATTTGAACA